TACGACTTTACTATCAGACATCGCAGCGGGAAATGTTATGGCAACGCAGATGCATTGTCAAGAAGACCTTTGCCTGAAGATTGCAAACATTGTACTAGGCAAGACAGTAAGGAAGTGGTATCTGTGAGGATGCTCAGGACAGACCACCTCCGCAACGAGTGGAAGGACAGCCTACGACATGCACAGCAGGAAGATCCAGACATCAAACCGATTCTGGAATGGATGAAGGCCCGTGCTACCAAGCCTAAGTGGAGTGACGTCTCAGCGATGAGTTCAACCACGAAAAGCTATTGGGCCCAATGGGACAGCTTGCTGATTCGGGATGGAGTCCTGTGCCGTAAATGGGACAATGGTCGAGGAGACAGCTGTCGTTTGCAAATGGTTGTCCCTAAAGCTAAAGTGCCGAATGTTCTACAGCTGTACCATCATGGTCGTTTAGGAGTCCATCTGGGAGTTAAACGAACTCTACTGAAGATCCGAGAACAGTTTTACTGGGTCCATTATCGTGACGATGTCGAGGATTGGTGTCGCAATGAGTTTGGGTTGAAGGGTCCTCAGAGTAGTAGAGGAGCATCGAAATTGTACAATGTTGGTGCGCCATGGGATAGGACAGCCCTTGACATTGCGGAGCCGTTTCAGAAAGGCGCAAAAGGGACTCCTAAGATCGTCCATGTGGATCGCCTGGCGCGTTATTATGGGGCCGATAATGCTAGGGACGAGCATGTTTTAGGAGGGGGCAGTGTTGCGCGCCTAAGTTGACGTCATGTACCCGGAACTAGCGCCATATAGTGTCGGGGACGAGAGCGAGGGGAGCTTTCCAGAAAATGACATCACTAATCTTTCAACCGACAGCGCCATCTAGTATCGAAACGAAGAACTAAGCTTCTAGAAGCCCAACACTCGAACTTTCGGCGCCTTGTCGATTGGTGCGCGTATTTACTTGAATATTCTGGATGTTTTGGTGATAATGTGTATTTAAAGGAGCTGCAAGATGCGATCGAGGAAGTATTGAATTTGGCGAGACAAGCGAAGCTTCGGAGCGGATTAAATTGGATAAGTGTGATTAATTATTAGTGTTTTAAGTTTAATTAGTATGAAGTGAATTAAAGTGTTAATTTTGGTAATTCAATCGGCAGTTTTTATAGTCACGAACCTAAAGCTCGTAACAATATCATACGTCTAGCAACACCTTTTTATATCGGACACGTCTTCCGATGAGTTTTTTATACGCACGAATGGGTCGGCTCGACCGGGGAAGGACCACGCTCTCACAGAATAACAACGTCAAATAGTAGCTTAATGCTGCTGTATTTCGTATGGTGATGGTAGAGAACCGGAGACCCTTTTACTGGAAACAAGGCATTCCATATTAATCCTCACAGGTGACACGTAAACAAATTAATTCGTAATCGAGGATAGATGTAGATGTCTATAGGCCACAGCAACCATTTACCATCAGGTAGACTGTGTGCTCGTTTGTCACACTATCCTAAAAAAAAAGGCAAAAAGTAAAATAGTCCTGGAATCAAAAAAGTTTTGACAAAATAATGTTGAATTTTATGGTCTTTATTAGTATTTGCCCCCGAGAAACGTCGGGAATTAAAAATAAGTAAAAGTAATTAATTAAACGCGATGGAATCCGTAAATTTAGTTTAATTCAATAGTTTTATTCAGTATTTTCTCCTTCAAATATTGATTAGCACCATATTCTTGCCAGTATTTTTACATTCGAGTAGACTTCAAAATTTCATAAAAGTTCTATTTACGGTGAACGTGTGAGATGATTTAAATTCATGAACGGGTGTAGAAATTTACACAAGATTGGCAGCAGCGTCTTCCTGATCATAGCTCAAAATAATAGTAATATGCAGGCAACTCCCATGCCAAGCGTGACAACAACGGTAAATATCCAACTTAGTGTTGCCCAAATGCAAGAACAAGACGAGACTTAGCCAGTCTTGGTCTTGGTCTTGCGCCAATACACCTGGTCTCGTTCTTGGTCTTGGTATTGCGCTCTTAGTCTTGTTCTTGGTCTTGGTCTTGCAGCAAGAGTCTCGCAAGTCTCGCAATTACATATTAGCCTATTGTTATTTATTAAACGTTACTTTAGATCTTAGAACAACTTAACAGAGTAGGCACATTTTGAGCTTGAATTAACATAGCCATAGAAAGACCAACCAAATTAATAAATGTCTAAACATTTAATGAGAAATTCGAAAAATTAACTAATACCGGGTGGGGTTTGAACCCACGACCTAAGCGATCCGTGCCGATGCTCTAACCAACTGAGCTGTCTACCAAGTCTCACGGCCACGGGAGTTAGTCTGTTTCTTAATAAACGTTTACATTTAATAAGCTTACATGTGCTAAAACTTAGTCAAAACATATAAAAAACAAATTAATGACATTAACTTGACTGTATTATAAAGAACATTATCTGTCTAGAAAGAGATTGATAGACCCTTATATGAAATGGAATAAAAGAGTTATACAATTTACCATTTATTTAAATAAAAAAATAAAATACAATACAAATTAAATTACATAACAGTACATAACAGCTTTGACATTACTGTTACTTTATATTAATTCTTTTGACCAAGAATTAATACAAAGTAACCATCTGGCTGACTCATCACTTAACCTATTTCTATGTTTTCTAATTACTAATTAAGCTTTAGAAAATAATCTCTCAGCAGGTACTGAAGTTACAGGTATTGAAAGAAAATCACGGGCCATCTACGATAAAGTCAGATATTCTGTCTCATGCGTCCTCCACCACTCTAAAATCTCTTCCGAACTGGCGGCTCTGGGTTTACTTAGGAACTCCTCCAACTCGTCTATAACTAAGCCTTGATGAAAAGATCAGATCCGAGGGAGGGATGATAAATTTCTTAAAGTCTATTACGTCTTCATCTTCATCATATTCAATACTTTCTTTTATTTCTGGGATTCTAGAGATGTACCTGAGTTAGACTTTTATATTCTTTATAAGTTATTAATTCTTCTGTTTTATTTTCTTGTCATGTAGTGGTCTGCCTTGGGTCTAAAATTGAGGTACATAATATCCAGTTGCTCTTTTTATAATGTTTAAGCATTTTGTCTCGAGCTGCTTGAAAACCCAGAATGAGCCTTTCATCCACTTCGGATCGATTAGGTTTCTCATCTAATTGTTTTACCGTGGATTCAATTTTATCGAGCAAGAGATTGAATGATAGAATGACTAGCGGTAATGTAACATATTTTTCTCCACCAAGTTTCGTTTATAGAAGTTTAAAGTTTATTAGAAACATATGTATTTTTTCGAGTATTTGCCATTCACTATCTGTGATTCGAAAATCATTTAATTCGGTGACAGAAGTACACAATATGTTAATGCCAGTTCTCACTTTTAAACCAAATTCAATCATATCATGTGTGGAATTCCATCTCGTTGGACAGTCGAGTATGGGGTTCAGATTTGATGGCACGCCATCTGCTTCACAAGCAGACTGAAACTTCCTCTTCAATATCTCACTTCTTTTTATTTTACTGGAAATACTGCGTAATTTTGTTATAGCTGTATGTGAGTCAGCAATATTTGGCGCATATTCTTCATCTTCCTCAGTTTCGTCTTCATTATCTTCATACTACTGTTTTTGTCTCTTATTGTCAGTTTCACTGTGTAATGCTAAGATCTTTAATAAATCTTGTACACCAAGGTTCAAAATGTGAGCAAAGCATCGGAAATGTTGATTGTCTGAATCAAAGTGTGGCAGCTGTTTTTGCAATTCATACATAAATTTGGTATTTGCAGTTGCGTTGTTGACCGTGATACCCTGTATTTTATCAATTATGTCATATTCCAATAAACATTCGTGGAAAATCGTTCCAATATCTTCCCCGGTATATCGACCGCGTGATGGTATAAAATCAAGGACTACAGATACTTCCATTCGTTGTCTATATAACGAATAGTGACCCCGTAGTAACTCCTACGAGCAATTGACGTCGTAAATGTCGTAAATGACGTTTTAGATGAAAATTGTTGTAGACGTTTCTTAAGATTCAATTGAAGCTTTTCAAACCGTTCTTTGACCTTCGTTCTAAGTGTGGACCTTTTAGGAAACACCATATTTGGGCAAATTGATCGAAAATATACTTGTGTAGCTTTGTCATCGAAAAATGAGAAGGGAAGATATTTTTTAACCATCCAATCAACTGTAGCTGTCGTGATGTTGTCACTGCTATTTTCAGACTGAAATAAAACAGTAAATCATGTGTCTCGTTGATTATAAAAACAAATGAAAATATGAGTGAATTATAAATACATATTTGAGGGGTGCCAAACCAAAACGTTTTAAGTGCCACACGAACTGAAATGCGTTTTATTGCAGTAAAACGTTGTATTTGCCGGCGTTTGCAGTAATGAGTTGAAGGGTTTCTAACGCCATCTAACTTAAATATTGTGAAACAGCATGCCATAACGTTGTAAGTGCCAAATGATCTGCAAACGTCAGTGCATTCAAAATGTCCTAACAAGACGGTGCGTCTACAACGAGAAAAAAAAATTGTTAACAAAAAGACATGGAAAAAAACAATAGAAATATTGCAAGGAAATATTGCAGAAACAAAGGCTTATCGTATGTGAATACAAAAAATAAAGAAGTGAGTGAAAAAAGTGAGCCAAGTGAGGTATGTGTGACAATTTTTTTAAACCATTGTTAAAAAACGTAAACATAGTATTTTACCTTTAAATATATTTATATTATTTTACCATTGTTATTATACACTTATATTACTAAACGGTGATGAAAACAGTAAACAACGTTTTATGCAAATTGTAAATTTTATCATTTACTTTGTTGTAGGTTTCTTGCAAATGCCAGTTTTCGTGTACCTGTTTGACATTGGAATGCCGTAAAAAATTATTTCACGACTTCTGGAATCTGGGAGATTATAACGAAAAGCAGATTTACCTAAAAACCTTATACGGCTTTGTTTAATAAACAGAAGGAGACATGGCAATTATGAAGATGCAACCTAAAGCAGGCGACAACGTACATTTAAATACTCTCATAATTAGAGGCATGTCGGAAGTTCAGGTAAGAATTACTATTCGTTATTTGAATTATATTCTTAGCTAGTACAATAATTAATGTTTTCGAAAGAATTCTATTCTACAAATAGTTATAAGTTCCTTTTAATTTCAGATTTGTAAAAAGACGTTTTGCGATACTTTTGGTATCAGTCAACGCCGTGTGCAGATGCTTTCCGAAATTTTTTTTTGGTAATGACGTATCTGTAAAAGATAGACGTGGTGAAAACAGGCAAAGACGCGAGCCTCAGTGGAAAGAAAAGATTGTCGAGTACATAAAGTCAATACCGGCTCAAGAAAGTCATTATAGTCGAAATGACGCTCCTAATAGAAAATATCTCCCAACAGAACTTTGTGTGGTCAAACTATATAAAGGGTTTTTAGAAAAGCACCGTGATGGATCTACTAAGCCACTAGTATCTAGGCAATGGTTTAATGAAATATTTTGACCGAGTTTAATCTTTCTTTCAAGACTCCGCGAGTAGACACATGCCCGACGTGTGACTCTTCTAAAATCGAAATAGATACTGCTCCAACTGAAGTAGTAAAAGACCTCGCTATGCAAAAGTTGGACTTTCATCACAAGCAAGCTGAGGTGGCCAGAAAACTAACGAATAATGATGAAGCAGACTCTAGATGCCATAATTCAGATGTTCGAGTGTTTCAATTCGACCTCCAGCAACAGATGTACCTCCCAACATTAACCCATACACAGATGTACTACAGTCGTCAGCTGGCGTTTGTCAATATGGGAATTCACTTGGAGGACGAAGGAAAGGGCATCATGTTTCTCCGGAATGAAATTGTTAGGCAAAGGGGTTCCAACGAGATCGCTTCCTGTCTTTACAAGTTTTTCACTTTTAGTGAAATAGGATACACTACAGATAAAAAGAAATTAATTTTGTGGGCAGATAACTGGTGGACAAAACAAGAACCAAGCTGTACTTGCTATGTACCTCGTTTTAATTGCAAAAGGTTTCTTTTCAGAAATTACTCATAAATTTCCTGTAAAGGGTTATACATTTCTCGCCTGCGATCGTGATTGTGCGATCATTGAAAAAGCGAAAAAGTGTGCAAAGCCACTGTTTTCAAAAGACCTTATTATTTATATATATTATTTATATATATATATATATATATATATATATATATATATAACTACAACTCACTGACTGACTATAACGATATCTCAGGAACTATAAAACATACAAACTTGAAGTTTGTAAGGTAGGTTCCTTTTATGGCATAAAGATCAGTTAAGAAACGGTTTTGAGAAAATCTATCCCTAAGGGAGTGAAATGGGAGTTGGAAGTTTGTATGAAAGTCCTACGTTTTTGATGTTAGAGACACGAAAATCTGCATTAAAGTAAGTTTTCAATAACAAAATCCTAAATAAGCTGTTTTACGAAATCCTAACCCTAAGGGGGTGAAATTGGGGTAAAATGGTTACATGCAAGTCCTATATTTTTAAAGTATAGATATCAAGATCGACATTTACTTTATTAGTTTTAAATAATAAATACTTGCATAGTTAAGCTTTACCTATATAGCCTCTTTATACTTACGTAAGACTTTTGCAGCGAGAAAATTTCAAAATCTCATAGGAAATCAGAAATTGTAGTAATTGTGTGATAAGTATATTTTTTCTGACCTGTCCACTTTTTCCGGTGGTTATTAAAAAGCTTGTGATATCTCCACTTAATTTTGGTTTTTCAGGAAGAAATATTTGTGATTCCTTTTTGTGGAAAGATATTAGATGCTTCCTTAAGCCTGAAGTGTTTCTGTTTTTCATTTTTATTTCAACCTTTTGTAATTTATGCCAACATAGGCATAATTTACACAAAGCAATTTGGGATGCATGAATTATATCGAAAAACTCATTAAATTTACTTTTAGGTCTTTTAGATCTATAACTCCAACCCTCACTACTCCGACTAGAACTACTCGACTCTTCGTCACTCATGTCAAATTGTAAACTTATCACTCCGAGAACAACAAGGATTAGAGCAAAAACAATTAATACATTAGACTCGAAGCAAAGCTCAATTGGGAATGACTGGAATTAAAATAAATACTACTTTTAGTAAGTATACGCCGAAAGACCGACAAAGGAAAGTTCGGCATCCTTTGATAAAATTAATGATTCTTCAGAAGATTTTTAAAGTAGATGCGTTGCGAGATAGGTATAGTGTGCCTACGTAAAAATGAAATGTAAATATGTAAATAAAATTGTGTATATTATGTTCTTCTTTTGATTGAATTAATCTACGTTAATTAAATTAAATTTGACTTCACTCGTTTGAAATTCAAAATTCAAATATGTCTTATTCAAGTAGGCATTAAAATACACTTTTGAATAGTCATATAATCACTGTTTCCCCCAATTTTTTTCTTTTCCATGTACAGGGGTTCTGATTCTACTGAGAAGAATCATGGAAGAAAGTAAGAAACTCAGTAGTTGCTCTTTTCAAAATATTTTTACTATACATAGTTCTTTAATTATGTAAAGCGATAAGTCAAACATAAAATGTCAAATGTATATGTAGATACCAAATCGGTTTAGAAATTTCTAGTTAGTCCTGTGTAGTACGAGAGGTCAATTCCAAGCATTTTTGTCTGACTTAAATTGAAAAGGTCTAACATTTCTTTTGGAATCTTATTATAAAAGCGTATATCGCTACCCAAGAACGCATTATATACTTTTTGTAACCGGAAAGCAGGTACTGTGATTTTATTTTTATTTCTACTATTAAAATTGTGCAAATCACTATTATTTACATCAATTCGATGCAATCAATTTCTTTAAACGGTTCTCTAAGTGATACTCGGGCTCCTAAAAAGTACATAGATCTTATTTTAGGTTTTTTATTTAATATGCACACTTTTTATATTATTCGATTAGCATTGTACAAAATGTTTACACTGAACTTATTGAACATGTTTATCTATTAGGTAATAATAATAATAGTAAGTAATTATTATAAACCCTTATAGTTAATATTATAATAATTACTTACTAGAATGAATTATTATGGTATCTACCTATACTTACCATTATCTAATTACAATATTCCTTGCGAGATCAGCATAATGTATTTGCGTCCATTCTGAGCACCCGGAAACTTATTTTTTTTTTTTTTTGCGCCCGAAGCAATTAAAGGGCTACCCTGTACGTAGGGAGGCGGAAAATGCATTACGCATACCACGATAGCCGGTCTATCGTGGTTATGGGGGACTCACTGTCCTACCGGGGACCCTAAGTGATACCCCCTAAAAACCGCCTTTAGGGACAGGCAACCGGCTGATTAAGCTCTATTGTGCCTTATCATGAGCGACCCTCTTTTGGGAAAAGAGGGCGCAGGCGGCTAAGTGCCGCTGAGGGAGTGCCTACGAAGGCAAATTAATGTCAGATATTACAATAATTTTATTTAATTAGAGTTGGCCTGAGCCGCCAGGAGACAGTTCAGGTCATTTGAAAGTTTATTAGGCGGGTCCGAGAGAGAGTTCCTCGGCCTGCGGACACGAGAGCGCGAGGGGGGGGGGGCGGCATAAGAAGCTGCCTCACGAATTAAATGGTTTGGGTGCGACTCTGAGGCTTTGAAGAAGTTCTCAGAGAGTTTTTTAAGAAATTGTTGAATTGTTGGGAGCTCTAAGTCCCGATGAAGGTCGGCATTACGAACGTACCACGGTGCGTTCGCAGCTCGACGACAGAATAGGTTCTGAACTATTTGGAGTTCATTTAAAATGTTAGGGTTTGCGTGGGCAAAGACGGGGCCCGCGTAGGACATGACTGGTCGTATACATACCTTGTAGAGTGTACGCTTGTTTCGAAGGGACATTTTACTGTGTCGGCCCAACATACTGTTGAGCCTACTCAGATAAAATCGTGCGTGACGGGTTACTCTTTTGACGTGGGGCTTGAAAGTAAGCCCTGTGTCTAGAGTGACACCTAAATATTTGGCGGACGTATGCCAGGGGACAGGGGTCCCTAACATACGTATTGGAGGAGTGTTTTTGAGACGGCGTCGTTTATAATCGAAGTGGACGGCGGAGCTCTTCTCCGGGTTCACATCGATGCGCCATTTTTTGAACCAAGCTCCTAGGTCATCAACTGACTTTTGGATCTTGTTCCGTATGAAGGGTAGTGAGACACCTTTGCAGTAGATGGCAGTGTCGTCTGCAAAGAGGGAGAGTTGAACACCTTTCGACGGGATGGGAATGTCGTTGGTGAACAGGATGTACAGCAGAGGAGCAAGTACTGAGCCCTGGGGGACACCAGCCTTGATAGTTCGCTGTGAAGAGAGCGTGCCTTCGTGTCTGAAACGAAAGGTACGATGTTTTAAATAGGAGGCCACGAGACGAACTAGACGATCGGGGAGACCTATTTTATAGAGCTTGTAGATAAGGCCTGTGTGCCAGACTCTATCGAATGCTTTGGCTATATCGAAAAAGACCGCGATGGTCTTATGACGACGAGGATAGAAACCGCTGAGGATATATTCCACAATGCGGTGAACTTGTTGGGGACATGAGTGTTTGGCTCGGAAGCCGAATTGATGGGGAATGATAAGAGGGTCGCCGTCTGTGGGAAACGGGTAGCGCCTCATTCGATTTTGGATGACTCTTTCGAAGAGCTTGCCCATTGCCTTGAGGAGGCTAATGGGGCGATGGCTGGAGGGGGAGGTTGAGAGGCTTGCCTGGCTTGGGAATTCCAATCACAGTAGCCTCTTTCCACGTAGTGGGAAAATAACTAAGGTTGAAGCAGGCGTTGAAGATAATAGATAAAAAGGTTAACACCTGCTCGGGAAAGTGTTTTAGGGCTTGGTTGGAGATGCCATCCGCGCCCGGAGCCTTTTTGGGCTTAAGTCCTTTGATGAGGGATGAGATCTCATCATTGGACACAGAGATAGGTTCGGAGGCCGTGGGGGGTGAGCTCCGGCGGCGGACCTCATCCTCCACTGCCTGGACGTGTGAGGGGTCGACGGGTTGAGAACTGGGAGAGCATTGAGCGGCAATGCTATCTGCAAAGCACTCAGCCTTTTCCTCGTCCTCGAAAGCAACCGTGCCGTCGGGACGGGAGAGAGGGGGAGTGTGGGTGATAGCGTCTATGCGGAGGGCTCTAGCCATCTGATAGTACGCTGTGTGAGATGGAGAGATATTCTCCATGAGCTTACTCTTTTCGAGGTCTCGAAATACAGAGAGGCGGAAGCGGAGTTCTCGTTGAAGACGATTGGCCGCGCGCCTATATTCGGGGGTGGGATATTTTGCTGCTCTCCGGAAAGCAGCTTTTTTGGCTTTTATTAGGTTGCTAATATGTAGGGGAAGCCCACTATTGTTAGCAACCGGGACGACCCTTTCGTTCTCCTTAAGGGAGGATTTAATAAGGGTGGAGAGTGAGTCGACCGCGGTGTCGATTTTTTCAGGACTATCTAAGTCCGACGGTAGGGAGATGGTAGAGTCCTGTGAGTCCAAAGATTTAGCTAGGGACTCCTTGAATCCCTTCCAGTTAGTGAAGGTTTTCGTGTGTGTTGGGGGAGGTGGCTGATGGCCAAGAATGAGGGAGACCGGTCGGTGATCTGATCCTAGATCGTCTAGTGTCTCGATTGCTCCGAGGTTGAGAGAAACTCCTTGGAGTAACGCAAAATCTAACACATCGGGGGCGTGATCGGTGTTATCGGGAAAGTGAGTAACACCGAGAGGACTATGGACGGTAATATCAAGAGACTGCGTGATATCGAACAGTATCTTGCCACTAGCGGACGTAGTGCGGCATGTCCATTCAGTATGCTTGGAGTTAAAATCTCCAAACATAATGACTGAATTGCCTAAAGATAAAATGGCCTCAAAATCCTTTTTAAGGGGATAGGTTCCTGAAGGGATGTAACAGGAGGCTATGAGGATGGACTGGTGTCCAGTCATAGCTAGCCTGCATACCGTGGCTTCCATGTTGGTAAGCTGCGGAGTAGAAATGGGCGAGCAATGAAGTGTCTTCTTGTAATA